TACAACCACGATCCGAGTAATCTCTAATTTTATTTGTATTAAAAATTTACTAATTTAATTTACCCAATTTAAATGTAAATACAATTAATTTTTAGTGTTGGAAATAGAAGATAAGATTAGATTTTATAATACTTTTTGCAATGAATTTTTCATCGTTTCACGAATATATAGGATTAGCTTATAAAAGTTAAATTTATTTCAGAATAATAGAAAAGAAAATAATTCAAATGAATTAATGACTATTTTATTTTTTATTTTCTAAATACGAATCGTTATCTCGTTTCAATTCTATCATTGGTTAAAGAAATTATTTATATTATTTCTATTCTCGTCTCTTGCGATGAAACGAAAAAAAAAAAAAAAAAAAATCGCGTATCTCGAAAGGATGGATAAATAAAATTTCGCGATGGAACAGAAGAAATAAGGAAATAAAAATGAACGAAGGATCGATGATCAGCAAAAATTAACACAAATGAGAAAGTAATTCGATATTTAGAACGATTACGAACATTTCTTACTAATGGAGAATATCGATTGCAATTATCACGGGCTTCAAACTAATTGATGAGAAATAATCAGAATTTTTCGATAATCCATAGAGTAGGCTCGGTATTCTCTCGGTTGAATGAAAACAAGTGGTATTAAACATGCTATTAAATGTCAAGAACGATAATCCTAACCGATTCACGATTAACCTTTTCACATTTAATACTTTAATACATTTAATACATACGAAACCATGTTCTATATTTGTTAAATCTAAATATTCAATGTACTTTTTAAACGTTTCATAATTTAAGTTAATCAATCGAATAACAATTATTAATAATTTTTAATCGAATAATAAACTCGTTCCCTCGGTAAAACTCATTTTAACGCGTGCAAAAAATAAGTAAAAAAGCGCCATTTTCCATTATTAATAATTATAAAAGGGAACGGAGAATACACAAAGGGTTAATGAGATATTTTTATGAACTCCTCATTATTTGGTTATTCATTATTTTCGTGTGTTCTTGTATTAAGCTACATATATATATCCTAATCGCGAAAACGAACAGAATTTACATGGCCCAAGAATAATTTTATTGCCGTAATAAAATTGTCAGGATTTCTTTGCATTGGAATGAACTTAATATCGTTCGTCGAAATTTTATAAGTCACAAATGATTTATAAAATATAAAATGATATAAAATCGAGAGTGTCGATCGTTATCAAAAATTTTCGTAAGAGTAAATAGCTTTTTGAAAGTTTGTAAATTTTAGAAATTGTCGATCAACAATACGAAGTATATTTTAATATAAATAAATAAACAGCGAAATAAGGAGTTAAAAGAATGGTGCACGCTCGAATTCGAATATATGTCGCGATTATCACAAACGAGTAACGAGTATCGATCTTGCCGATACCGGTTTTATCTGTAATATCGTACAGGAACGAAAAACACAAAGTGACAGAAAATCCGTGAATTCGTGAAATATATATATATATATATCGATTCTCGTTGCTTGGTCCAATTACGTCAAAATTACGATCATAGTACGTTTCATTGTTTCGAGTCCGGTTCCGTGGCTTCGAAAGCATACACATTGTAATTCCTGATGCAACTATCATAAATACCACAACTGGATCCCTATTGAATCTGAAACTCGCCCATTTCAAACGATCATCGCTAGAACACGCTTTTGTTACATTTGAAATTATGAATATAAAAAGACGAGCACAAAGGCAAAATATACAATTTCCTTTTCTTTCTTTCCAATCTGTGCGAATGATTGAATAAGAACGAATTCCCAAGTACTTCTTTATCTTTCCATCAACCTAATAGCATCCTTTCAATTTATTTTCATTTTTACACATTTTTTTGTTTGTTCGATACTTTCAAATAAATATTAAACAGAAGAAACACTCAGCAATGATACTTTTTAAATATCTCTATCTCATCTATCAAATTTTCAAAACTTGTTATTTTTAAAACAATTCTTTCGATGATAATGAAGATAATTTTTCGAAATGACGTGATTTCACTCGATGTGAATCGAAAGATGCTATCCCTATTAAATTCCCTATTATAATTCGAAAATATTTTTTCCACTTTGATGTAGGTAAGTAAAACAAACATCTGTCTATCTAATTCTGAACGTTGAAAAATACAGAAAAAAAGAAAAAAAAACAGGGTTTCTATTCCAAGAAACGAAAGTGAGAAGGAGAAATAAAAATTTCGTGCACCGCGTCAACTTTTTAAACACCCAAGAAGAAACATGGTCGAAGAATTTGCATACGGCTTGTTAGGGGATCCGCCAAGCATCGATAATTTAACGCCAACGACGCGATTCTTCCCATTCGCGACACGTAGGATCGGCCGCGATTTCGAATGCCTCAGCCTCAGAACGAAGATTCTTCTGTTATTGAACAACAATCGATTCCTACGTCGAGTGCAACAAACTTAAGAAAAGACGCACGTAAAACCCGGAGAGTAGGAATGCAAAGAAAGCGGGAATAATTAATACTCGGTGCACATCTCGGTTGCAGAGACGCATATACGCTAGGTGTATCCGTGTAGAGGGAAAAATTCTCGCGCGATGGTGGGTTTCAGGGAAATACCTACGTACAATACGTATTTTACATGTGCTGCTATTGTGGCATCGCTCCATGGGCGAGCAGCGGCTGGCCAGAGGCAGGCTTTCAGAAAAATTTGTATCGCGTATTTCTAAGTATTTTTGAATAAAATTAATTATAGAATTTATATTCACACCGTGTATCCGAGCTGTTATATCGGATGTGTAAAAAAAATTCATATGGTTTCTCTGGAGTGTTATATTTGATTATACGCCCGATTCTGCATTCTTCAAGAATCAGTTTGTGGAGTAATGGCAATGTAATTATTGATTATTAGACTGTGGAAATTTATGCAGAAATTTTTATGTAGAACGCACGTATACAAAAAAAGAATTATTAAGAGTAAAATATCACTATATTCGAAGAGTGAATCTATATTCCAGTTTCATTTGTATTCATAATTTAGATTTGCATGAACAGTAATTACTAGTTATATTGAAATGAACATATGCCAAAAATCATCAATAAGACGTATATATTTCTTCAAATTGCGGGGTTCGTTTTAGAGGTTTTTTTTGGTTTCTCCATCCATTGATTATTTTAAATTAATATTTTATGATCGATTGATTCATTACTATACTTTTATACTGTATTTAAGATTATTTCATTTATTTCAATCATATTTTATATATATATTTTTTTTTTATTTCAATAAAATAAAGGTGGCCAAATATAACTTGACAGACAGTTAATACATCACTACATAGAAATTGCATTCTTGCCGTTTTAGAAAGCGCACGCACAAGTGGATATGCCAAGCATGGCTCGGTGGATTTCACAGGAATTAATTGACTCGGTGATTTCAAGAAATTTATCGTCGTGATTTACGAGATCCATATGAATTTAAACCGCAAGAAAATTTCTACGTTATAATTTCATCGTTTTTCTGGTGGTGGAAAAAGAAAGAAAGAAAGAAAGAAAGAAAGAAAGAAAGAGAGAAAGAAAGAAAGAGAGAAAGAAAGAAATGGGGGAAAAAGAAAAATGGAGGAAAAAAGGGATGATAAATAAATAGAGGAAAGTCGCGTGCACGTGATCCACCGGTGTATCCGGAATTTTTTCGATGTGAGAGAAGTACAAGAAACGGTGTAATTGTACCGTTGTGGAAGTACGGATGAAAATAGTCGAAAATTAATTCTGGTTTCGAGTTGGATAACTCTTAACGCGTTATATGAAAGGAATATCCATGTTCAAAGACGTGTTGGAATTAATTAATTTTTTTTTCGAAAGGAATAAATTAATTGTGTTTGAATATTTTTAATGAAACACATTTCCCATTTTTTTTTTAAATTCTATCTTGTTAAAATATATATGCAAATATCAAACATAAGATGAGAAAGTATTTTAAAATTTGTGAGAGATATTATAATGTACACGTGTGTAATCATTATATTTCTTTTCAATTCTTTTCTTTCAATCATGTTGAATTGAAAGAAACAATAAAACTACAGTATATACCTACTAATATTTTTCTAGAGGAAAAGAAGTTTTATTTGTCTTATTTAAAACATGATGTTTTACTCTTTTTAAATTTTCAACCCGTTATATGTTATTTATAAGAAGAGAATTTAAAATATGGGGAAAAAAGTAAAAAAAAAAAAAAAAAACAAAACATAATAATTTAAAAATGCAGTTTAAAGTTTAAAAATAGAAAAAAATTATTCTGAAAATATATATATATGTATATGGTTAAGAAATTGCAGAACTGCAATATAAAAAGAAATTGTAGCACAAGGATAATCTAAATTTAATAAACATCATGGATGAAGTCGGCGTTTTTAGAACGCGAGATTTTCGCGCGCACGATGAAAATTCATCAAGCTTTAGCGGGGCATTTTTAATCAACCAGAATAAGAAGATAAGTACACACACACACACACACACACACACACATATGCAGATGCTCACGTGCACACAAGTCAACTCATTCCAGCTCACGAACAAGCAAAGTACTCTCAACGTAGGAGGAATATCTCCTTCGGTAAATAAAACAGGGAATAACCGCGGTAAAGATGATCCATCTATTAAAACCGAGATAGGATCTGTTTCATAAAATCACTATGTATCATCATCTGTTAAATTTAAATTATTCATTTTGAAAAGAGAAAAAAAGAAAAAGAAGAAACTAATAAATAACGAAAAAGAAAAAAAAACAATTCTTAAAATTATCCAATGATTATAATTTCAAAAGAAAAAAAAAAAAAAAAAAAAAAAAAAAAAAAAAAAAAAAAAAAAAAAAAAAAAAACAGAAAGAAAGAAGAAAAGGAACAATTTCAATTAACCAAATGTCAATCTCACATGAGAACGATATTTCGCAAATGGAAAATCGAGTGAATCGTGTAAAAAACGAAGTGTAGAAAAAAAATCAATTTGCATGCACACGTACCTCGATTTCTATAATTCACACGCGTGGAAACGTGCAGCCAATTAATCCACCGTTCTCCGTGAAACAATCCGTAGATCTTCTCTCGTGCGTGTGTGTATGTATATATATATATATGTCTCTATTTTTTTTTTCTTTCCTCTTCTCGCACTTGGCAAACGACAGAAAATCGTGAACGATTGTTCGATAAAAATGTCGAACGATGATCGTTCCACTGAATCGCAACCCCTATTTCCCCTGGAACGAAATGCTTTCGTAGAGAGACACGAAACGAAAGAGGCAGACTTGGATTCGAAATTGCGGTACCGCTCGGCAGGTAACGCGCCTTTCGCCGTTCAGTCCGCGCCGAATGACGTTCGTATACTGTCCTGGCTCGGTGCGTTCGGCGGAGCCGGCCTCGTATGATGACCCCCTTCTAGAATTCTACGGCCCTGTCGACGTACGCCACAGTCTCTGGACACCGACGTAACACCAGGAAACACGGGTAACCGTCGATCCTGTTGGATTCGTTCACATCTAAAATTTCGCCGACTGAAACTCCTCCTTTGCGGTAAATAATAAAATTCTTGCTTTGCTCCGGATAAAGCTCTGGCATGAAACGTGTATCCGTGTAACATATAACCTGAAACAATTTATTAAATTTTAAGTGACTTTTCAATGATAGATAGTAGATAGTTTCGCGTTTTTTTGATTTAATATGAAGGTTTTACCTTTTTTTTTTTTAGATAGCTTCTCTTTTTCTTATATCTGAATATATATTATACATAAGTATGTATTAAAGAAAATGGAATGAAATATTTAAGAAAAAATAATTATAATTATTCTTATTTGTCATAAAAGAAAGAGAAAAAATAGAAGTAAAATATTTTGGCTCATTAATTACGATTAGGTAATTACAGAAAGAAGGTAATTACAGTAAAATAATTTGAGGATGAAATAACGAATAAAAATTGCAACATGAACATTTTTTTTAACGAAATACAAAAGCTTTGTTTTAGAACAGTGAATAAAATTAGTTTTGTAATTGATTTTCCTCTTAATTTTAGTTACGTATTTTTTTAAATCTATGAATGAAATCGGTTTTTTAATGGGATTTATCGAAAAATATTCAAAGAAATAATGTGGTTGTAGATTAAATCGATTCACCGGAAACTTTAAAAACATTTTATCCCATTAAAACTATTAAATTACTTAATGTTTTTTTTTTAACTCCTTCCAATGAAACTTTTATACAAATTTAAATTTTGCTTATATCTACTTGAACATTTAATGAGATAATATTCGCTTTTCGTTTAAAAATTTTATACTTCATTCATTATAAACAAATTTTAATGTACCTTAATACTTTATTCACAATGCAACGTCCCGCGACCAACAACAATATCGATAAAACTGATTTATCACTCTACGAACCTGTTCAAAATATCGATCATACAACCATTCTTCTATTACGCGAACAAACTACGAATATCTACGAATCGATCAATTTTCCATTTTAAACGATGATTCTGTCCGCTACTAACCAAAAAGGTAAAAACTCGATGATGTTACCGGTTACCGGTCAGTGCTTACGTTTCAATAGTAGATGAAACGGGTCATCGATCGTCCAAATGACCCAAAACCATCCGTAATTACGAAGTCGTATTCAATGATCTTTCAAACACTCGATTTCCTCTTGTATCACAACGATAGATCTGTATCCCTTCTAATCTCTACTCTACTGTGATACTTCCTATTTCTTCTCTCATCCTCTCTCTATTTCCTTATCTTTTTTTATTCAAGTAGTCAGAAGTCATAACCATGGATCCCTCCTAACCTCTCTTACCTTCTTTTCTCTTCTCTCTCCTTCTTATCTTATTATTTTTCCTTTTTTATTTTTATTTTTTTTTTTTCTTTTATTTAAACAGTCAGATAGTCAGCGCGATATTCAACGGGAAGAAGCTTGGGAAAAATTCATGTAGCTCGCACAGACACGTCCGGAATTCGATTCTAGAACGTATTGCTCCTTCCAACTTTACGGTACTCCCGCAGTATTGCCTGTAGACACGAAAAAGTGCGGTTGCAGCGGCTGCAGAGAGGAGAGCCAGCATACTAAGAAACAGAAAGAGAAAGAGAAGGGGATGTGTACGAGAGAGGCAATGGCAAAACTGAGTGAGCACACCCATCTTTCTTACCTTCCATTTTTCTCACCGAACGAAAGGATCCGGTGTAATTCTAGCGCGCACGTTGAAAATTAATGTGGTTCTGTGGACTGGTACGCGCGGAATTCGATCCGGCAACGACCCGCTTCTTCACCTTTACGGTACTCGCGATATCCTGGGCTACACCGGCATGGAAATATGCAGTGAACCGCGCCCGTTTCACCGTGGCCGTTTCGCGACCGTCCATTGCTCTCGTTCAGTGGCCTGGGCTCATCCGTGTTAACGTTCAAACGAAACGGTGCTGTTCGAGTAAGCGTAAACGTTCTTTCGAACGCGCTTCCTCTTTTCCTATGCGCGTTACCGGCTGCGCTGGAAAAAAGAATCGAAAAACGTTTTAAGATTTTTCGTAAGAGATTCGATTTTATATTTAACTTGAAGGGAAACGCGAAGGGAAAGAAGAAGAAATTCTAAAGCAAGCCAGCGAAGATTTAGTGGTTCTATTCTAAATTCACGAGCTTGAACTCTTACGGTTTTATGTAACCTACCGAAAAATATGTAACACCTGCAGAGAGAGCGGTAAATATAAAGCTGGAACGAGAGCGCTTTGAAGCTCGTTGGAATTAAAAAGGCGCTCTTGTGTATTTAGACGTTTTTTTTTTTTGTCGTGTCAAAGCATGGTAATATTGAAATGCATGGAGGAACCGGTCTACTTTAATAAAAAAAAAAAAAAGTAAAAGGAGGAGACTGTCGTTTGTGATCAAACGATATCTAATGGAAATTTAAAATTTAATTATCGTTTTTTATTACAGTGATCTAATTATTGAATTAATATTGGTTAGAATTTTTAGTATTTTATATTTTCTTTTAAAGGATAAAATTTAAAAAATAATAAAATAAATATAGTTTTTAATATATTAACAATAAAATATTTTAACTACAAGAAAAAGAGAATTTATTTCAGTTAAATTTTTAACTTATTTTTACTTTTTATTTTATTTATATAATTATATATATTATTTTAATTTATTTAAAAATAATAGTAACACTGATTGATTTTAAAAAAATTGAAAAAATTGAATCTTTGTAAGATCAATATATTAATAATGTCTAAGAATTATGTTTGAGATAATTAAATATTACTAAGGGTTAAATGCTTCATCAGGGTTGATAGCAATAAATAAATTGCTATTTATGACATGACCTACGTGTTTAGTCATAATTTAAATAATCAAGAATAATTTTTCATTTAAAAAATAATATCGTGAAATTATAATTAGAAAAATAGTTCTAATTCTTTGCATAACTAGATATAATTCTTCGTTCAATAATCTATTGATAGAAGCTATTTTCATACAAAACACCTGAATATCAATATTAATTTATAAAATCTTACCGTAACGGAAACTTTTAGCTGTTTACATAAATTATAAACCATAAACTTCCATGAAATTTATCCATAATCAATGTTCGATCAACCGGTAAGTTTACGTTGCATCTTGTACATCAAATTTATTTTATAACGTTCCAAAAGGAAGTGTAAGCTGTATACAGATAAATTTTATTAATTTAGAGAAGTAGGAGTGTACAAAGAAGAAAAGAAAAAAAGATATGAGAAAGAAAAGGAGAGACATCAAGTTGTACGCTATTCCAACATTCCTAGGTAGCCCCAAGGCGTTAAACGGAGTACCGTCATTGCAAGGAAAGACCTACTGACCGACATTCCCCTTTCCATTCTTCCTGATACTCCTTCGTCCGGATCTTGCCACGATACTAGTGTATACATGGCGACGACCTGTAGTGAGTATCGTAACCGGAACCTCTGGAACCTTCGCCCTGAATTTTCGAGATAGTCATTCTCTCGAACATGAGTTCAAATTTTTCAATTGTTGCTAACAAATTTTGAGAAAACTATAATTGATATTGATAACATTAATAGCTCTCGAATTTTCCTTATTTGTTATCGATATCCTATTTCCTTTTATTTTTTAATTTAAACAATTCCAAAAGTATATATAATGTTCCAAATAAATTTTTAATATACATATGTTTTTCTTTTTTCAAACTTCTTTTGTGTTTTGATATTTAATAATAGAAAGTCGATATAATAAAAAAATAAATAATTAAATATTCAAATTTTTGTTAAAAGTAAAAAAATAACTTTCTTCTATTCGAATATGAAATTATTCGCATAAATTATTTTAGGATATTGTATTATTGTACCATATATCTCAAATTGATGTCAAGAATGAAAATTAAATAACATTTATATATACAATAATATTTATATATACAATAACATTTATATATTAATTAAATTGATAAGGATTATTTTACATTATTGAAAAAATATCTCATATTATTTGAATTATAAAATAGATTGATTTATATACTTAGTAAATCTTTGATTGGAACATAGTTATTTCTTAGAAAACTTGTATACAGTTATAATGTTATGCGTTTTACGATGCATCCATAAAAGTCAAGAGAATGGAGACCTACATTTTCATTAGCATCCTGTGAAACTCGAATAATGCAATTTTAATAAACGATCGCTATTTCTTAATGCTGCTTCGATTCATTATTTCTACAAAAAAGTGATATAGCAAAATCGCATTACACAATAATGTAACGCATATATGTCGCAGTAAATATATGGCTTCCACTAAATCCAAGAAAAATTTATAAATGTTTTATATTGTACATATATATGTTGTACCAATACTAGAAACGAAAAACTTTCAGTAAGAACTTACCTTATATATAGGTAATAAATTCTCTACAGTTTTCAATATAAATACTATTATCTTAATAAACTGTATAATTATATGGAACATAATTTGAGGAATACTTTGGAAAATAACATAGAATTTAATATTGTTAGATTCATGGAACTATGAAAGTTTTCTTATGAAACATCATCTATTATGGCACATGTTTCATATTCTAACATGGTATATTAGTTATATTCTCCTCATTGGGTATAGTGAGAGGTTACTGCAGTGCAAGATCAACATAAGGAAACGGAATCGAATTCGTTTGATTTCGTTTGATTATTTTAACAATAAACTCCAAGTTATCATCGGATCCATGCATCTTTTGTAAAACGATCGATAAACAATTCCAATTTTCTGATATCATCCTACAAATAAATGTAATTATATATATAATAGCGATAACAGTAATCGTCACTCGACCATACAACAAAATTTTGTAATATTCTATCAAGTGTTACTTTTTATACTTTTATAT